TGAGAAGAAATCAGGGTGAGGACCACTGCAATAGGGAACATAATACTGTGTTCACAAAAGAGGAGGAAGAATCCTAACTTGAAGAAACCGGACAGTATTAGAGACAGAGGAAAAATATAATTTGAATACAAATAGAGTAAGCAATCCAATAAAACAAAAAAGAGTGACAGATTGGATAAGAAAACAGTGCTTTACTATCTGTTATTTAAAAGAAACACATTTGAAAAACAAAGACATATATAAAATTAAACTAAGGAGATGGGAAAAATTTTACTGTGCATCAAATGAATCCAAAAAAGCAAGAGTTGCAATCATGTTATTTGACAAAGCCAATAAAATAAAAAGAGATAAAGGAGGAAACTATGTTATACTGAAAGCAACCATAAGCAACTAACCAATATCAGTAATAAACTTATCGGCTCCAAATGCCTTGCATATAAATTCATAAAAGAAATATTATCTAAGCAACAAAAAGACATAGATAGTAACACAATGATGAGACTTCAGTATCCCTCTCTCCATTTTGGATAAGTCTAACAGAAAGATGGAGATAGCTAGGTGGTTTAGTGGATAGAACACTAGGCCTGGAGTCAAGATGACCTGAGTTTAAATCCCACATTAGACACTAGCTATGTGACCTTAGGCAAGTCACTTAACCTCTATCTACCTAAATCCCCTGGAGAAGGAAATGGCAAACTATGCCAGTATCTTTGCCAAGAAAACCCCATGGATAGTGTGGTCCACAGGGTCATGAAGAGACAGACATGATTGAATCGACAGAACAACAACAGAAAGATAAACAAAAGAGGAACTATGGAGCTGAACAAATTGTTAGAGAAAGTAGAGTTAAAAAACTTAGGGCATCTTCTAAATGGGTCTGCAAAAGAATACACGTTTCTCAGCACCATATGGAACTTTTACAAAAATTGATCAGGTAGTAGGGCACAGATATATTGTAAACAAATATAAAAAAGGCAGAGATAGTTAATACGTTCTTTCCATACCATAACACAATAAAAATAGAAATTGGTTCAGAAACCACAAACAAAAAATACAGACCCAAAAGGAGATTTAACGATGAATTCCTAAATAATAAGCGAGTCAAAGAACAAATCATCGGAACAATAGCTGCGTAAAGGAAAATGATAATGATGAAAAAGTGTACAAAAGTTTCTGGGATGCAGCTAGTTTTTTTTGGGGGGGGGTTAGGCAATGGGGTTGAGTGACTTACCCAGGGTCACACAGCTAGTAAGTGTTATGTGTCTGAGGCTGGATTTGAACTCAGGTCCTCCTGAATCCAGGGCCGCTGCTCTATCCACTGCGCCATCCAGCTGCCCCACAGCTAGTTTTTCAAGGGAAAAATCATATCCTTACAGACAAATATTAGCAAAATAGAAAAAGAGCGGATTAATGGATTAAACAATGCATTTGAAAAATTAGAAAGCCAACAAATGAACTTAAAATGGGCAAAAAAGAGGAGATATTAAAAATTAGAGGAGAAATAAATACACTGGAAAAATAGGAATGATAAATAAAACTGAAATCTAGTTCTTCCAAAAGATTAATAACATTGATAAACCCTTAGCTAATCTGATTAACAAGAAGACAGCAGAAAATCAAATCAATAAAATAACAAATAAGCAAAGTGAAATCACAGCAAAAGAAATTTTAAAAAATGTAGTCATACTTCATTTTACTGTGCTATACAGTATTGTGCTTCACAGATATTGCATTTTTTTTTTAAACAGATTGAGGGTTTGGGGCAATTCTGCGTCAAGCATGTCTATCAGTACCATTTTTTTTAACAGCATGTGCCCACATCATGTGTTATAATTTGAGACATTTGGAAATTCTCACAATATTTTAAACTTTTTCATTAATATCATATTCATTACAGTGATCAGTGATCTTTGATGTTACTATTGCAATTGTTTTGGGGCACCATGAACCGTATCTATAAAGAACAGTGAACTGAATTGATAAATGTTGTGTGTGTTCCACCGACCAACTGTTCCTTCATCTCTCTTTCTCTCTCCTCGGGCTTCTCTCTTCCCCGAGATACAACAATATTGAAGAATATTACATAAACTTAGTTGATAAAGCAGCAGCAGAGTTTGAGAGGATTGACTCCAATTTTGAAAGAAATTCTACTGTGGGTAAAATACTATCAAATAGTATCACATGCTACAGAGAAATCTTTTATGAAAGGAAGAGTCAACTGATGCAGCAAACTTCATTGTCCTATTTTAAGAAATTGCTGTAATCATCCCAGCCTTCAGCATCCACCACTCTGATCAGTCAGCAGCAATCAACATCAAGGCAAGACCTTTTGCCAGCAAAAAGATTATGACTTGTTGAAGGCAGCTCAGATGATGGTTAGCATTTTTTTATCAATAAAGAATTTTTAAATTAAGGTATGTACATTGTTTTTTAGACATAATACTATTGCATACTTAATAGATGATAGTATAGTATAAACATAACTTTTATATGCACTGGGAGACAAAAAAATTCTTGTGATTTGCTTTATTGCAATATTCATTTTATTGCAGTGATTTGGAACCAAACCCACAGTATCTCTGAGGTATGCCTGTAATCAGAACATATTATTAGGTATAAAACTAATAGCTATTCCCCAGTAGATAAATTGTTGAAGAATATGAACAAACAATTCTCAAAAGAAGAAAAGCAAAGTATTCACAACCACATGCAAGAATACTTCAAATCACGAATAATAAAAGAAATACAAATCAAAACAACCCTGCAGTTTCACCTTACACCCTGCAAATTGGCAAAAATGACCAAAAAATGGCAATGCTCAATGTTGGAGGGGCTGTGGAATGATAGGAATGCTAACACATTGTTGGTGGAGCTGTGAAATATTACAACTATTTTGGAAAGCAATATGAAATTATGCAAATAAGGTGACTAAAATATCCATACTCTTTGAACCAGAGATTCAGTTACTGGGTTTACACCCCAAGGGAGCCATTGGTAAGAAGAAAGTCCCCATATATTCAAAAATATTTATGGTATCACTTTTTGTGATGGCTAAGAATTGGAAACAAAGTAGATGTCCATCCATTGGGGAATGAAACAAATTGTGGTATGTGAATGTAGTGGAATATTATTGTGTTCTAAAGAAATGATGTGTGTAATGAAGACAGAGAAGCATGGAAAGATCTACACAAACTGATGTTGAGTGAAGTAAGCAGAACCAAGAAAAGAATATATATAATCACTATAACCATATAAATGAAAAGAACAATCACACACAAAATATCAAAAGTGAATGTTAAAAAACTATAAAGATCAAGCAAGATTCAAATAAAGAAATATGAAAAGAGGGTCCCCCCTTTCATGGATGAAGGAGATCCACAAGTGTTATACATTGCACATGTTTTTAGATTTCTTCAATGTATTGATCAGTTGGTGCTGATTTTTTTTTCCTCTCCAAAAAATACTATTTGTAAAATGAGGTGATTTTCTGGAAGAAGTAGGGGGATGATGATGTAAGAAACAGAAGATATCAATAAAAAGTTATTTAAAAAAAAAATGAACAAGTCAGGTTTCCTAGGTCAGGACAGTGTTGCAGATATGGTTTACCTAGATTTTTAGCAAAGCATGTATCAGATTCTCTCATTCTCTTTTTGGGAAAGATTAAAAGATGTAGGCTAGAGGGTACATTTAGTACTGATTAGGTGGCTGAATTAGAGGGCAGCTTGGATGGTGCAGTGGATAGAGTACTAGTCTGGAGTTGAGAAGACATCTTCCTGAGTTTACATCTGGCCTCAGATATTTACTAGTGTGTGACCCTGAGCGAGTCACTTAACCCTGTTTGCCTTAGTTTCTTCATCTATAAGATGAGCTGGAGAAGGAAATGGCAAACCACTCCAATATCTTTGCCAAGAAAACCCCAGTTGGGGTCATGAAGAGTTAGACACAACTAAAATGACTGAACAACAGATGTCTGACTACAAAGTATATAGTCAGCAAGGTCCTGTGTCAACCACTGGAGTGCTTCTGGCATTTGTGTCCTGTGTTATTTAACATTTTAACCAATAAGCTGAATAAAGGCATAGATGGCAGACAAGATTATCAGAGTTGCATACGACACAGAGTTAGGTGGAATAACTAACATATTGGATCACAAAGTCAGGATCCAAAAAGATCTTAACAGTGTTGAGCTGAATCTAATGAGGTCAGATTTAATAAGGACAAATATAAGGCCTTGTATTTTGGTCCAAAAAATCAATTTATGAATGTAAGCTGGAAATACGTAGCTAGAAATTAGTTTGTAAAAGATCTAGGAGTTTTAGTGGACTGTGAACTCAACGTGCGTAACAGTGTGACACGAGTTAACAATATGGCTGCAAATAAAGTAAATGCAAAAGGGAATGGGCTCCGTGGAGGGGCGAGGGAAGGGGGGATGTTTTGTCATCAGAAGAGAGACTTAGGGATTACTGTCTTCTAATATTTTGAAAGGGTAGCACATGGAAGGGAAATTAGGTGCTATTTTGTGTAATTCTGAAGGGAAAAGCTAGAATCAATAGAAACTGTAAGGAGGCAGATTTGAGTTCAACATTAGGTGAAAACTTTCTAAGAATTATACTTATACAGTAATAAAGAAGGCTACCTCCTAAGTTATGAGTTTGTTGTCATTGCTCATATTTAAGAAGAGTGCAGGTGACCTCAAATTGGGGATATTATAAAATAGATTACTGAATTAGGCAGGAGGTGAACTAAATTTCTGCCATCTCTTGAAATTGAGATTCTATGATACTAATAAACTCCTTGAGAGTAGGGACTCTCCTTTACCTTTTATCTCTATTGTTACCCATCAGAGTTCTCAGCCATTGGTAAGAGCTTAAAAAATATTTCTTGAAATTGGAAATGTTTGTTTAATTTCTGCTCTAAAGATAATTTCTGTGTGATTTATAGAACATTTACATTGAAGAATTGCTATTTTCTAGCTACAGATAATTATTGTTTCTTTTCAGACAATGAAAAACATAACATTCAAGTTGTAGCGCAGCAAGGAAACAATGAACCAAGCCTTCAGGACATGGCTCTTCTTATTGAACAAGTTACCGGAGTTCCACTTGCTTTTCAGAAATTAATATATAAAGGTAGAAATTTTTCTTTTAATATTTTCAAAGCATCCTAAAGTTCAAGTCTGAATACTAGTAATAAAGGATAGACTTAAGTATATCACTTTCTTTTCTTTTTCTAATTCTCCAGCTACGATTGTAAATATCAATATAAATTTTGTATAGAGAAGTGTTAGACATAAATTACAAGTTAGTGATAAAATAATGCATGTATCTGAAATAATATTTGTGGTAAAAAAATATTTTTGAACATTTGTTTTAGGAATAATTCATATGTATCTATGTTTGCCTTAACTTCCTCCTGTTTCCTTAAGTCCCCAGGTCCTTTACCACTGAAACTCCATCCTCATCCTGGGGCCAAGGCCCTGTCCCCACGGAGCCTCTGTGTAGTAGGTGCAGCTCCTGCTGCCTTGAAATCCTGCAAGACACCATTGGCAGAGGTCCAATTGCTTCCTCTGGATGATTAAAACCTCTGGATCTTGGTTCCAGAGCCCTGCCTTCTCCTTTTCCCCTTGAAATCCCAATGGAAAAGAAATTCTCCTGTCCAAGTTATAGAAGGAGTATGCTGTAGTCACTGAATCTATGACAGGGAGATCTGGTCTTGGTGATTCCTATTAGAATTCAACTTTTTTTTCCTATGAAAATGATATTAAAAGGGAGGCCAGGATTTTTCCTACATGGAAAATAAGTCTTAAGTGGGACAATATTTCAAGTATGTAGAAGACGGATTAAAAGAGTTGTTCTACTTACCACCTAGGGCTATCTATGAGCAATGGCAGGCAGATTTACTCTGGATTTCAAGAAAAATCTTCCTCACAATTAGAGGTGTCTAAAAGTGGAATGGGCTGCCAGACATGCCACCCCTTACTGGTTATCTTCAAGGAAAGGCTGGATGACCACTTGTTGCAGATGTCATTGAAGGGATTCATTCTTAGATCTAGGTGGCCTTTGATGTCCCTTCCAGCTCTAAGATTTTGTATTAATCAAAAATAATTAATTAATTATTATTTTGTAAACTTATTATATTAATATATAATAATATAGAATGAAATGTTATTAGAATAGTTAATTACAAAAATCATATTTAATATACGGTTTTACAGACTGGCCTAGAGACCTAAGTGCCCTTTATAACATTGTTTCCATGAGAAAATTCACTCTGAGTTACAAGAGACCCACTTAATAAATTTGTGGGATACTGTCACTTTGTAAGTTAGAGCGCTGTGTGGATATGTAATGTACACTATATTTTTCCCCCGAAGTAATAACTCATTTTATCCCCAAATGTCCAGTATGGATTGTATTTGTAGGCAAAAGTCAGATAAATCATGTGAAAATGCCCTTCAAATTACCAACGTTAGTAATAAATTCATTCACTCAAGTATATTTGTGCCTTTGTGAAACTCACCTCTATGTGTAACTTTGTCTTCCAAACTTCTCTCAGAGAACATGTTTCATTTATGTTAGCAGGAGATACTAACACTACATGGTGACAAGTGTGATTTTGGAGAGTTGCAAAGTAGTTTTCTTTTTTTAACTGAATTGCAACTTTTGATGCTTTATGGTAGACCGGTTTAAAATTTAAAATGAGTTTTAATTGACATTCGTGCTGATATTTTGCTTTTCCTATCTTGTAGCATTGTTTTTTGAAGTTTTTCAAGCTGCACTGAAATTTTTAGATTTCTTGTTTTGGGTGCCCACATTTTTAGGGTTGAATGAAAGAGTAAGACCCAGTTGACACTGGATTATAATCTGAAAGGAAGTCAGTATTCAATAAATATTTACTAAATCCCTACTTTGTGCCACTCTGCTAAACCCTGGGGATACCAAAAAAAAAAAAAGACAGTCCCTGCCCCCAGGGTATTTGTAGCCTTAATGGGGGAAGACCATACACAAAAGGAAGCTGAAAGGTTTTGTGGGAGAGGGTATCTGGTACCAGGGGGATGATGTTTGTGGAGGCAAAACCAAGCAGAGCTGTTGGTAGGAAATGAAGAGAGGAAGTGAAGTGTAGGAGCTAGTAGGTGCTTTTAGGCAGTGCTTCTTTTCTTTTCTTTTTCTTTTTTTTAGGCAGTGCTTCTTAAACTGTGGCTCCTGACCCCAATTTAAGAAGTGTTGAAGGAGTCAGGGGTAGAAAAAGTTTAAGAAGCCCTCCTTTTAGGTATATTAAAGACTGTCAAACAGAAGAGGTGTTAAATGTATTATTAGAAAAGAAAAACATAGGGCCAGTGAATAGAAATTATAGGGAAGCAGATTTTGGCAGAGTATCCAATATAACCTCCCAAGAATTGGAGCTCTCTGAAAGTGGATTGGCCTGCCTCTTTAGGTAGTGAGTTCCTTCTTACTGTAAGTGTTCAAGCAGACACTGGACTTGCTGGGGGAATACTGGGGTGGGGATTCAAACTATAGATAAGGATTGAACAAGTTGATCTTCCAAACCTGGGATTTTAGGGTTTTGGAAAGGTAGGAAGGAACCCGATTATGGAGGAGCTTGAATATAAAACGAAGGCATCTGGATTTTATCACATGGGCAGTCATTGAAGTTTTTGTTTTGTTTTGTTTTGTTTTCTAGCATGGGCATGATGTAATGAGAGTAACATTTTATATTACTGAAACTGCCTCCTCATCTGCCTTCATTTTCATTCTCTCTCTATCGGAGTTTCTTGTTCTTTAACTAAAGACTGGCTGTTACTGCTTAGTTGCTGCTAGAGGCTCACCAGACGTGCATAATTATGTTGGGCCTGGTTCCCTACAATCCTGTTTGGACGCTGAGTTAAGTTTAGATCTAGAATAACAAATCCAACACAGTTATATCTTTGCAGTTTCGAAGGGGTCCTTATAGTCCACGATGGTCAGGACTGTCCCTTTTAAAGGGAAAACAGGGTATAATTGGAAAAATCAACCCACTGTTCTGCATAGGGTCACTTATTCACTATTTTTTTATTGCTCCTTGGGGGCTAATTCAGTATTCAGATATGTCACTCAGAGCTGCTGTATAAGAACTCAGTAAATCAGGTTGCTGAAAGTTCCTCTAACAGTCAAGGGGTGGTGAACCTGCGGCCTCGAGGCTACATTTGGCCTCAAGTGCGGCCCTTTGACTGAATCCAAACTTCACAGAGCAAATCCTTTTATTAAGGGCCTAACCCCATATTAGTGTGTGTGTGTGTGTGTGTGTGTGTGTGTGTGTGTGTGTGTGTGTG